GGGGGGGGTTTGGGGGTCTCTGATCCCCCCCAGGTTTTGGGGTGAGGGGAATTGGGGGTGCGGGGGGGGGGGTTTGGGGGTCTCTGACCTCCTCCTCCACCCCCAGGTTTTTGGGATCCTGGCCGGGATCCTGCTGGGCTACGACGCCTTCATCACCCTCCCCACACGGCAGGGCCACACGGCCGCCCCCACTGGTGCGTACTGGGAGCACTGGGAGGGGACTGGGAGCACTGGGAGTAACTGGGAGAACTGGGGAAAGGGAGGGCGGCCCTACTGGTGGAACTGGGAAGAACTGGGAACACTGGGAGGGGGTCGCTGCCTTGAGGAGGGTACCGGGGGGAAGCCCGGGGGGGGTTTGGGGGGTCCCTGGGGGTGTAACTGAAACCAATCCCCCCCATTGTGTTCCCAGAATCGCCAGACAGTGCCTGAACAACCCAACAACCGAGACCTCCCCAAACCCCCCCGGGGGCGACCCCCGCCTTAAATTATTGAGGGGTCCCGATGCCCGGGTCCCCCCCCCACCCCGGGAGGGGCGGATTTTGGGGTCCCTCATGGGGTCGCCCCTTCCCCAAGTGCCTCAGTTTCCCCCCGGGGAGAACCTCCCCACCCTCAGGTTTCCAGGTGCCCTGGCCCCTCCCGGGCTTTGGGGTGCCCGCCTCAGTTTTTGGGGTGTCTCCGTTAATTTTTTTGGGGTGTTCCCCCCTTCCCGCGGGAGGCTTTTGGGGGCGGTATGTATTGGGAAATAAAAGGGGTTTTTATTATGGCATTACCGGTTCTGGTGGGTCTGTCGCGACAAAAGCCTGCTGGGGGGTGTCTATAAATCCTGAGGGGGCCATAGGGGACCCCAAAATCTCCCCTCAGGGGACGGTGAAAGGTGGAAAATTGAATTTGAATTGAATTGAAATGCTCTCCTCTCACGGAAAAAGGGCGGGAGGCCGCCCTTAGCCCATAGAAAAAGGAATGGAAACCTTCCAGCCCTCAGGGAAAAAGGAATGGAAACCTTCCATCCCTCAGGGAAAAAGGAATGGAAACCTTCCAGCCCTCAGGGAAAAAGGAATGGAAACCTTCCACCCCTCAGGGAAAAAGGAATGGAAACCTTCCAGCCCTCAGGGAAAAAGGAATGGAAATTCCTTCATCCCTCATGGAACAGGGCAGGACATTCCTCGTCCCCTCACGGAAAAAAGAGAGAAATCTCTTCACTTCTCTTGGAAAAGGGATGAAACTCCTCCATCCCTCATGGAAAAGGGCGGGACATTCCCCGTCCCCTCACGGAAAAAGGAGATATCGCTTCACTCCTCACAGAAAAGGGGCAGGAAACTCCTCCACTCCTCAGGGAAA